CTCTAGATATCTCCCTTTTCTGTGACAAGGGGACCAGCACTGCACAGTACGTGAAGTGCAGTAAGCTGCAATTTTATACAGCAATCCTGCATTTTTAGCTTTGCTGTCAGCTCTTTTCCCAATCATTCCAATATTTTAATTTCCTCTTTTGACTGCTGCTGAGCACCAGCCTGACGTTTTCATAGCACTATCTATCATTCTGTCAAAAGGTCTCCCGAGTACCAGAGATCACTGCAGAGATCACTATTGCAAATGTGAAGTTAGGATTGTTTTTTTCCCTCATGTATCACTTCACATTTACCTGTGTTGTTTCACCTGCCATTTCATTGTCAAGTTTCATGAAGACTTTCCGAGATTGACAATTGGCCATTGCCATTACTATTTTGAATAATTCACATAATAAATAAACTTTGTAGCTCAATGTTCACACTTCTTCTAGGCCACCCATGAATATGGTGTAGAGGTGAGGATCCAGCACAACCCCGTGCAAAATTCCAGTGGTAACTTGGGTCCTGATGATCCATGCCAGGATTTTCTCACTTGTGCCATAGCTGGGATGTTTATCAGGCAAGGTAAGCTACTTTACCACTTTTTTTTTGTTTTCTTTGTTCCAAAAATGCTTTTTTTTTTTTAAAAGAAACCAGAGAATAAACACTAGCCATCATAGCTAGTTTAACTTGTTGTTAAAGATGACAGGACAGAGGAAAGCCCCTGTGGTGATGGTAAGGATTTCAGTTTATCAATGACAAAATGAGAAGTACTACAAACGTCAAAAGAAATTTCCTTAAAAAGGAAAGCAAGCAGGGTAGAAATATCACAAGAACCCGCTGATATCCAGGCAGATAAGAACACCACCACCACAAAATCCTTGCCATCCACCGTCCCATGTGAATGTCACAAGGTACGATGGGGCTGATACATGCACCACACTCAGTGGAACCTGTGGGTACAGTGCCTGAAAAGACAAAGTGTAATGGCACTGACTGGTTATTATTCAGATTGTTCCAGCACAGATTTGTCATTTGATTTAAAAGTATTTAAGGTGCTTAACAAGATGCAGAGTGCAACAGAAACAAATCAGCAACTTTTTAGTCTGCAAAATTTTATTAAGCAACAGCTGGACAACTCTTACAACTCCAAATCATCAAGGAAAAATAGGGCAATCAGTCCATCTCTCAATCATGTAGACAGTAAAGAATCTGGACAAACCACACTTTTATAGGGAAACCAACAATACTTTCTAGGCACCTCCTGCAAAATCTACACAAGATACATAAAAGGAGAGGCAGATCAGGATAATTTTTAAGTACAATGGAAACCAAGCATACAATGGTATATTCAGCAGGGAAAAAAAAGGAGATTAAAAAAAATAGAATTAAAAAATAGTCTTGGTAAGTAAAGTTCACAAATGATGTACCAAATTTTTAAATACCTTAAGAAAAACATGCTGGGCTTGCTCACTTAAGAATGCATGCACCTGCATGGCTCTATGCTGATTAAATTAAAAAAAAAAAAAAAAAAAAAAAAAAAAAAAGAAAAAAAATCCCAAATAATTTTCAAAGTTATAGTACCAAAATAATGCATTCATAAACAAATGCAACTCCCCTTCTTTTTCAGGAAACACTACAGTGCCTTTTCAGTCGAATGCATCCCCATGCTATTCCACAACACCATATATTTTATCTACAATAAACAACGAGATCTTGAACAGACATACCCTTCCCCAAACACACAACACACAAACAGAAAAAGAAGCAGTGAATTCTGAAATAGTGAAACAGAAGTTAAAAGCAACCAAAGGCAAAACAAGTATCAAGCAAACTAAAGAAACAAAGGGAAAGTTTGAAATCTGAACAAATAGCTTCAAACAACATAGGTATGAATTACTGGCCGAGCATTATACCTGTGAAATACTTGAAACTCAGGTGTCTACACACTGTTCCAAAATGTTTCTCTTTTGTAATTACTTTAATCTTTATCTGTATCTTAAGCCACATACTTGGCCAGTCAGATAAAATTCCAAAAATAGACAACCTTTGTCAGGATGTAAAATTGCTGAATCAGTCCATATTTTAAAATTGTAAACCAGAGGATTAAGAACAGACTGGCAGGCTTTGACATCACACCATCTAATTTTTTCATTGAACACTCTGGATAGGTAAGTATTCGGTGTTTTCATTTATTTAGTTTTGTCTCACAAAATCATCTTTTCTTGATCCTGCAGTCAGCTCTGTATTAGCAAACCAGTACACTTGCATAGCCCTCCCAAACAATTTGCCTTGAAACACAAATTTCTCGTTACTGATTCATTTGCAAAATTGAAAATTAAAGGGTGAAGCTTTTAGTTTTCTTAGCAAGAATTGCTTCACTGAATCTTATTTCATTCTTTTGTTTCATTAACTGCTTTTGCCTTAAAATTTCTCTAGATTTTAGCAGCAACAATCAACCTGCCCAAAGAAACTCCTGATATATCTTCAGTGATTTCAGGCAACAGGGAAAGCAGTCTTAATCTTAAAACATCTCCGTGGAACTTTTTAAGAAAAAAATTAAATAAATACAAAGACAAAATAATTCACATAGACCATTGTTCACAAGTAGTAATTAATTTTATTCCTTTGAGAATGGTGCATGTAAATTCCAATCCTGTAAATAGGACCTGTGGTGCCTCCCTGCAGACTACTCCTGAGGGCAGCAAGACTCTAAATTGGTATTTACTAATGAAGGTTTGTGCCTTGAAGGGGAAGAGACATGAACACAAAAAACATTTGTCTACTAGGATTCCCATTTTTGTAAGCAGTATAGCTGACTTGCTCTCTTACACTAGGAAAACTGTTATGTCAATTTCTAAATAACAAACAGCTTTCCCTCCGGTCCTGTGATGGACTCCTAGAAATGGGAATAAAAGTTAAAAATCTGAATGACTACTCCATAGCCAGGATTTTACTTCTAGCATTCTCCAAGGGGGACTATACTGAGCTGCCAACACGGCTCTTGGCTAATGCTCTGTAATTTCCTTTGAATGGATGTATGGGTCATACAAGCCATCTTTACCTTACAATCACACAGTAATGGGTAAGTACATTTTGGATTGCATTCCGGTGTCTTATGTATCTTGGTGTAACCATACAGTGAGGCTGGAAGTTGGCCCTCTGTCAGCATGCCACACAAGGGCCTCATCTCTTACTAATCATTAAGTCTGATTTGCTGGTCTGGAGTAATTTGGGCCCTGCAGACATGCAATTTCTAAATTGTTGCTCTGGGAAACACATTCTTAAAAGTTAATGAAAATTTACTGTGTCTTCTCTCCCCTTTCATTTCACCAAATCAGTTGTTGCACTTGCTGCTCTTTTTGTATGAGTGTAAAATGTTTCTGAGAGGTAAGAGGGCACCAAGTAACATAGGATCACACACATCAGGCTTCAAAAAGCAAATGCACAGAAATTGATGGAGGCAATAATCAGACAAGCTCCAAAATCTGTAACTTCTGAGAGGATACTAAAAAGACACATTAATTAAAGCCTGGATCTATGGAAAGTTTAGGCTGAAGGCTTCAGCAAAGTTAGATACCCTTGTCTGACACCTGTAGACCTTCATGCATCTTCATAAAAACACAGTTTTATTTGTGGCTGCATCACAGGAAACTTTTATAACTGAGATGAACCTGTGTGCAGATTTACTGATATTCAGGCAGCCCATGGCACATGTTACTCATTTTCTGGAACTGAGTGCAAAAGTGCTAATGTGGTAATTCCTTTTTTTTCCTTCTGTCACCCCCCACCTTTGTATAGTTTCTTAGGATGTTGAAGAAACATGGACTCTTACTGTTTAAAGCTAAAAATTGTAACTCCATTTATGCCAAACTTTAAATGTTTAGATTCTGTTCAAGATCTATGTTGAGGTTATTACCATTATTTTTTCAAAATTATCAGGTTTTTTGTTTCATCCCTTTTCAACTCCAGCAGAGCAGATTCTGACTTCAGATGGACACCGTGGCTGCTGGCTGGCATCAGGGCTCTCTGCCCAAAGCTGCTGCAGCCAAACTCCGTGGCAGCTTCATGCTGCTCCTGGAGCAGACCTAGAAGGATGAGTGGAGGAACACCTGCTCCAACAGGTCTGCCAGGGAGCATCCTGAGGAGGCAAAGCTGCTGCAGGCACCATCGGGGCACAGCTCCATGAGCTCCATGCAGCACCTGCCAGAAGCACTGTGGCAGTGCTGGAACCAGCTGAGCCCAGCTGAAGAAGGAGCACTGTTAGGCTGAGCAGAGGAAAATGCTTCTACTGCTACACAATTCCTTGTGCCTCAGCTTATTTGAGCTAGTTTGCCTGTACCTCTACCTGGCAGTGAACCATGCCATTGCCAAACCCTACGGAACTACAGCGACCTCCTTACAAACAGCATGTGTTGTTATACCCTCTCTTACCACGAAACCCACCTTACCTTGTACCTCAAGAAAAAGCAAACCATGCCTCCTATTTTTTAAGCCGCTCCCAACCAAAGTATAGCTACAAATAAAGAAGGAAAACAGAGGACAGATTTCTGCAGGCCCCAAAGAACTCACCTAGACTCTTCGTAGTCTGCACAGTTCTCCATAGCAAACTCATTATGTTTAGCTGCCAAAAAAATATCTTTGCCTGCATTATGAAGTTTTTGCATATTATCCAGCAAAACCAGGTCTTCCTGTAAGCATTTTTAATTTCTTGCAGCAAAGTTTACCTGCTAGCAAACAACTGCTTACAAAGATGCTCTTTAAATATAAATAAGTGTGTATAACTCACTGATACATAGTAATAAAATAATCCCTAAATCACTCATTACATTATGCAAGAAAAATAATTCGTTTTTTGGACATTAACAGGAAATCTGCATTAAATTATCTTTAAACAAACACTCAAAACTCCCCAAAGAAAAATCAAACCCAAACTAAAACAAAACAAAAAGCCAACCCAACAGAAACAAAACAAACTCCCAAGATTGTTAAAATTATTGCACAACTGAAAAAAAAAAAGCTTTGGAAAAAACATCCTTTACTAGTGAAAATTACTGCATGTATAAAAGAACTAGGTATTTCTGAACACTTTGCTACATTCTTCCTAGAAGAACTTAAATTACCTACAGAAAACTGAGTTTTACTAACAAAATAGAAAACGTAACATCTATCTTTCAGCTGAATGCAATAGCAGCCTTCATGACTTAAGTGATTAATCGGGGACATTCTTAAATTTGTTTCCTATATTGTATCTCAATTTAAAATAAAATTACTTTCACTTGTTCTTTGTATAATTTAGGATCCAGTTGTACAGTCAGATTTTTATGTATTTACCATTCCTTTAATTAAAATTATATATATTTGAGAGTATTTTCTCTCACAAATATTGGGGATTCTCTACATATTAATATCCTTAATTGAAGAGACTTGACTAAATTATTTTCAAAAAGATAAACTATCGTATCTTACAGAGTTTTTGGACAAGCAAATGGAAACGATGTTGAAAATAGTATTTATTTTCCCAATTTTTTGGTAATTATTCCTTGTTCTTTTCTTGGGCAAAAACCAAAGCTTTTTCTATGCCAAGGCTCTTTATGAGTGCCATCAAAAGGATGCAATCATGACCTGGACCAGTGAAACCAAATTAAGAACTCTGTTACTTGTTTTATCGGTTTCAATTCTTGGTTCTCCATTAGAATAAAACTACTGATAACTGGAAACATTTGGCAATGAACAAAGCGAAGAGGATACTGTTCTCTGGAAGGCTAACGAAACTGCAAGCAGAAGTCCTTATTTAGATTAAATTTTCATCAGAAAAAAAAACATTCTCATTGTTTCCACATCCTAATGATTTCAGCTGGCAGTGTTCTTCCAGCTGAGTATTTCTGACAAATGACTAAGTGGCCCTTGCCTCAGCAAGCAAACAAGCCACCCCTGGTATGTTTCTTGTCTTACAGCATTCACTGTGTGCTTGTCAAACACTAATTAGGGTACAGCTGGTTAGCACAGACCTTAGGGCAGGTGAGGCCTCTCATCAGCAAACTTCCCTCCTTGTGTACTGGAATCAGTGGACTAAGAATTCAACCTACTGTTTTTACAGTATATAACTCAATATAGACAAAGCTCTTAATAGTGTTTCCTCAATAAAAAAACAAGTGAAACATTTCCATTGATTTTCAAGGGACCAGAACCAAATCTATTTCCACACATACCAGTATACATACAGGCACTCAAACTGCTGAATAAATCAAACATGTGAAAAAGAACACTAATGGGCCCAGACAATTAATGGAAACAAAACTAATTAATTAAAGAAAACAACAATCTGATAGATGCCAAGGGTAATGTTGAGCCTGACCTCTCCCACACACAAGAAGCTGCTAAGCTTTGGGATAAGACAGGCATGGTACCATCTACTGCCCTGCTCTTTCTCTCCTACTTCTCCTTCCTCTCTCCAATGACACCATCTCAAACGTGGTTTTTCCTGGACCTACCCTGTGGGGCATTATCCAATCTAACTCATCACCTCCCTTGGCAGCTCTCTGAAACTCCTCTACTGGCATTGCTTCTCTGTGCTGTACAGCTCTGGAAGTCTCAGCAGAACACAAGTTAGAAGATCACTGCATATTGGTAATTTCTACTACAGCAAGGCCTTCTGTCAAATGTTCCTTTAGAATAAATCAAATGCAACACGCATCTGCCCTACTACTAGGACAAAGAGAGAAAATCACACATATTCATCTTAAGTTATACTGAGCTTTTCAAGTAAAGAAGTTGTGGACGAAAGACAAAGCAGCTGTTGACATCTCAACCGGCAAATCTTTCCCAGTGGGCCTTTAACTTCAAAAGATCAATTTTTGATAAAAAACCCTGCTGTGATGTTTTGTAATCTAATGTCCAAATAATTATATGAATAGTTGGGGGGTTTGGGTATCACTGATCAAATTACTTCCATATCAAAACGTATTCTGTAGCAAAATGCTGACACGGAGGAAAGAGAAAAAGCAAATAAACGTGCACAACACATAGACAACAAAGAAACTCTTCTGTGCAAGCAACCTTCTGAAATGCTCAACAGGTCTGTCTGCATGTGCACCAAAGAGAACTGCACAGTCGTACTACTGATACTAAGCTTTCCTCTGTCACACTCTGTGTACACACTGGCTTCCTGCTCTTAGCTGGAGCAAGCAGCAAGGTGGGTGACAAAAGACATGATTCTGTCCAGTTTTTTCTTTCTCTTTCAACTCATTTGTTCTCCAGCCAGCCATGATGTTGTTTCCTTTAATGAACTTGCTTCTCTGATGAAATTTCTTCTTGTAATGACTTGCTACACTTGTCTCCTTCCTAATTCAAGCACTGTTGTAGAACTTGATTGATACTGATTGCTAAGAGGACTGAATACACTGGGTCTTCTCATTTGCTGGAAAAGCTTTGTTTACATGGTGTAAACACACTGAAATGAGGAGCAAGCACAGGCACGGCCTCAGAGGTACATCTGATCAGATTGTACCTCTCCCAGCTACAGGCCAAATCACAGAATACTGCTGAACAATGTGAACAAAAAACAACACTCATGATTACTTCCTCTCCAGTTTTCTGTCACCTACTGAAAGATGTTTATGCCAGTAACAAAAGAAGCAATGCTTGTAACTATTTGCTCCTCTGTCACCTACTGAAAGATGTTTATCCCCCTTAACAGCATACGAAACAAGCAAATATCAACTTCTTTGATACAGTGGGTTATTAAACCCTAGTTCTAGCCATGAGAGAGTTAATTTTTGCAGTAGCCAGGAGAGGGGATGACTAGAATCCAGAGGTTATTCTATACCACTCCCCATCATTTTCTGGGGCTGTGGGAAGGGGTCCCATGCAGGTCACATGGTGTGGCAGCAAGGTCAGGTACTGGCAGAGGCTCCCCCATGGTGAGCACATGCGTGCGAATCTTTCGCCTCTCCTGCACTCTGTTATTAACATTGATGCTGGAACTGTTTGTTTTCTCATTCCACTGCTGTTTGCAGTAAATCGTTCTTCTCTCTACCTGTGATCTTTACCTTTTGTGCCTCCAATTCTCCTCTCCATCCCACTGCAGGGAAGGGAAAAGGGGAGGGGGCAGTGAGCAAGTGGTGCATGGTTTGGAGTGTTTTGGTGGGAACACTAAATTAGAGAAAACCATTCCTAAACCATGACAAGCACCCACTGGCAAGAATTTTTTCTCTTCTGAGTAACGTGTCACTGTTTATAAATTAAACGTTTACCTACATAAGCCTCCTTGGAACCTGTGGTGCTCAGTTATTAGCAGGTATCAGAGAAGAAACACATGTCTTCAAGTATTACAGCTTCTTTTCTTTTTTTACTTTGTTTGCTGCTATCACTGATGTTTTAGTAGTAGAAGTACAAACTGGACCAGAAAAAAGTAATGTTCCCTGTTTTAAAAAAAATAGCATGAGATAAGGCAGTCTATCAAAAAGAGCAGTCTGGTTTAATCCCCCCATGAGCTTACATCAGCTACTGTAGCACAAACAGCAGAACCACCACAACAAGCCAAAAGCCACACTTCTCCACGTAACACTGAATGGTTCTCAACCCTTCGCTCTTTCTGACACCCAGCACAAGGCTTGAAAAGAAAATGAAACCGGAAAACAAACAAGCTAACAAACAAACAAACAGAAAACAGCCCCCCCACCCTCCACCCCGTGACTGATTAGAGTTAATGCCCTTCTGGTGGGCACCAAGAGACTTTTCCAGTTTTACTGCCTTCTTAACTCCCAGGCATCTCTGCACACCTAAAGCAGGCTGCCCTGACATTTTCCGGTTTGGACTTCATGAGAAGGTTAACATTTTCCTCTCTCCAGTCTCTGCTTTTTCATTTGAGGCGTTGAGTCACATTAGCCAGAGCAACAGCAAAGGCTTGCACTGCAGAAAATGGATACTGAAAGTCCAAAATGTAAGCATTGCCATCAATTCTTCCAAACTGCATCACCTGGGAAACAGGGGAAAAGGAAAGGAAAAGAGAAAAACGTCAAAAAAATGAACTACAGAAAAGGAAACGGAGAAAAGAATAGGAGCGAAATTTTTCTGCTTCTTTGTATGAACACCTCTCCTTCTAAGTTAATATGACTGGAGCTACAGACAGAATGGGGTATGATGCCAAAGAACAGTGAGAGCACTGTACTTTTCGTCTGTACAGAGTATTTGACTACAATATTTGATTCCACAGAGTAAACTGATAAAACATGCTAGACTGCATACAGCACTGCTTTAAGTAGCTTGTCACCAATTACTCCAGTAGATGTGGATATACCAGCATCATGATTCTTGCAGGAAAATATCAATCTCTCCCTTGGAAATATCCTGCCATCGACCCATCAGGAAAACAGACTTTGTTTTCAAAGAAAGGAGCTTTCAGAGAAGGGAAATAACCAATTTTCTCACTCTAGAACTTCATAGCTGATAAGGTGTTTACTCTTTGCAGTTCTGTTTCTCTCTGCATAAATATCTTCATTAGCACATAATTACAGCGAGAATGAATTAGCAAAGGGACTGTGAGAACTGTTAGAAATACAAAAAAAGCATAACTAGTCAGGTTGTTCATTGCTCTTCCGCAGGGAATATCTGAAGTTTGGCCTATTATTACTGTTTTTTCATCCACTTCATTGGAAATCCAGATTTTATTTGCTCTACGATGAAGATGGGGACTGACTGTGCAAGTCAAGGCAGGCTTTGTTACTCCCAGCAAGAAAAAACCCTTGGTTGGGTGGTTTTGCACAGCTGCCCATGGGGACATATCCACAGCCATTTAACTGAAGAAGAAAGGGATACAAATGGCTCTGATCGCTGCCTTTGAGCTTTTGTTTCATACAAGTAAAACCAAAAGACTGGCCATGCATGTCAGAGACTTAAGACCTCTAACTCCCAACCTAAAGCAGAGGAAGATGAGAGCCTTGACATCTTCAGTAAACCAAAAGTAACTCACAGCTGGCAAGGAAATAAATATGAGTCTCCTGAGTCTCAGTCCAGCATCCTGCTAATAAGCACCACTTACAAGCCCAGGTTTGGTGTAGTAATAGTAACATATCACTCTGGCCAAAATTAAATGTTTTGATTTTTTGAACTAGCCATTGACCCTTCTACCCACAGGCGGTTCAAAAGCGGCCCAGGAGCACTTTGTTCTAGGGTGGGTCAGTGTCTATCTCCTCTAGCATTAAGAGCCAACCCCAGGGGCCTGGTAGCTGCTCACAAGTGGAAATTTTGGCATGAAGGGAAGCTAACAGCCTTAGCCACCTGCTGCCTGGCTAACCTTCCTTAAGCAGGGCAAGAAGGGAGCAGTGTTCATTCAATTAGCTGCCATCCACAGCCATCACTGATGGCAAGTGCAGCTACCACTGCAGAGAGCTACGGTGTTTATTATAAAATCTTCAGCAGAGAGAGCCAGACTAAAGGAGGCTTTTGTTCCAATGTCTGCCTGCAATAAGACCAAACATATTTTGTGCATTTACTTTACAGCTTTACTTCACTCTACCTGCTGAACTTAGACCTTTGACAGCTGTTTTTTATCAACCACATGGCAAAGCTTTTTTTCATGGAACAGCTGACACAAGCAACATGAGAGGCACTCTGCAGCATGAGAGACAGCTTATTCCTGGCATAGCTTTCCCACATCCTGGCCCCCATTCCAGCAAGTGTGTGCCACCCCTTCCTACCTGTCGTCCTTCCAGCTCAATCTGGAAGTTTTTTGCCGACTCCTGGGTCACCCGCCCTCCGAAGTCCAGCTGGTAGACTTGTGTTGCCTCGTTCCACAGTGGCTGCTTGTTGGCCATGACATACACAAAGCCCTGGCTTCCCAGTCGCCCATCCTCCTTCTCACTGGCCTTCCGGCACTTGAATTCATCCAGCTCACTGGCTGTCCTCAAACTCCTTTTAGTTTTCCAACCCTTTTTACTGCCTTGGCTCTGGTTCATCAGTTCATCTCCACTGATAAAAAGCTCCGGCTCACTCTCTGAACTGTCCTGAAACTCATTTGTCTTGTTTAGTTTCTTGGACTTCAGCTGATCTTTTTGGCTCTTGACCTTCTTCTTCTCCCTCCCCAGCCGAGGGCTTGCTATCAGTGAATTGAAGTCAGTCAGTGTCCTTGCCTCCTTTTTGACCTTGCCCTCAGTGATAGCCTGCACATTTCCTTCTTCGGCTCGACTGTCCAGGCGTTTCCGGCTCTTCTTGCCAAATTTGTCTGTCCTTTGAGAAACAGGGCTTTCTGTCAAGGAGAGCACCTCCTGGAACGTGTCTGCCGTCTCCACCATCACCTCTGTGCCCACGTGGCCCTGCAGCTCTGCTGGCGGGGGAGACATCACTGGCTTCTCCACCACGAGGAGTGGCTTGGGAGGCAAGGTGCCCTGGGGGTTCTGTACGGGTGGGCAGGCGCTGTAGGAGCTCCACGGGTGCAAGGCGATCGGTGGCAGCTGTAAACTAGAGCAAGTGCTACTTCCCGGGTACATGGGTGGCAAAGGGCAATAGGAGAGGTTGGATGGATAACCTGGCTGAAGCACAACTGTGGGCTCCTGCTGTGCAAACTGTGTTGGGGCCAGAGCTTCTTTGGGGGAGCAGGGGGCCTGCATTCCCTGAAGGGGTGGGGCACTGTAGCTTCCTGGGTAAGGTACTCCAACCCCATAACTTGTCTGAAAAGTGGCAGTGGGACTGGTTGGAGACTTGGGGGAAACAAATGGCACTCGAGACATATCCAGATGTTGAGCTTGACCAATGATGAGCGGAGGAGGTTTTAGAGGGTTGGGCACTGAGCTCTGAGATGTCCTTTCCTGAGGAACCCATATCTCTTCGCTCACCATGGGATCCCACTGGTACGGCGGGGGCCGTTTTACACTAAGGGTAGCCTCTGTCAAGGACACAGGTACGTGCCGTACTGATTTTTCCACTGGGCAGTGCTGAGAAAGGGCCTCATCCTCCGTGAAAGCGGAGTTGATATAATCCGCTCGGTCACGGGAATTGTCAGGTGGGCTCAGCAAGCTGTAGGAGGACTGGGAGGCCAGAGGCGAAGTGCTGACAGAGTGAGCAATGACAGAGCTGTGTTGGGAGCCACTCCCTGCGCTCAGATCTGGTCTCATGGCACCAATACCGGAAGCGCTGCTACCAGCATTGGCACTAGCGATGCTGCCCGTGCCACCGGCGCTCGCACCGCTGCTGCTGCCAGCGCTGCCACTGCTGCACTGGCTGCAGGTGTACAAGGCTGTGGGCACTCTCTGCTGGTACTGTGCTGACACAATGTTGCTCTTGGCTTTAGGGGGAAGTTGCAAAGTGGCTCTCTGACCATCCATCAGCTGAGCCATTTTCAGGGCTGCCTCTCTGCTGTTTCTCCGCAGAGTAGCATGAATGATACTGCTGTCCAGCCTCTGCGCCATGCTTCTGCCCTGGGACAGCTGGCTGGCAATGTCAGGGTAGGGCGGCGGGTCCCCGGCTGGGATGGAGTAACGGGGCACCGTGAGCCGGTTCAAGGTGGCGCTGGCACAGGGCTGCTGCATCTTCTTCTCGGCAGCTGTGATGCGCAAGGTGGCGGAGCTGCCGGGACCGGGCAGGGTGTAGGTGCTCTGGGCGCAGAGCATCCTGGTGCGAGGCCGGCACACCTCCTCCACATTCCCGCTGCTGTCGAACGTCGTTATCCGCTCGTACCCTAGGGGCGTCTGGTAGTGGGCCGCCGGGTAGAGGGAGAACTCCCCCTTCTTGAGGCAGAGATCGAGGGGCGGCTGCGGGGGGCCGGGCGGGGGCGGCAGGGCGGCGGCGGGCACGGCCGGGATGGTGCCGGGGTAGGGAGGCGGCGGGTTCATCTTGTTCAGCTGCAGCTCCTGAGCGGCCCCGAAGATGACGGCGTCCCCTTCTACCAGCGGTGGCCCCGGCCGCGGGGCCTTGGCCTTGGGCGGGGGCTCATGCTCGCGGTCGCCGTGGTCCCGCAGGTCGGCCAGGGCGATGGCGGGGGGCGCGGGCGGCGGCGGGGCGAGCGGCGGCGGCGGGGGCCGGCCCAGCTCGCCCACGGCCAGCGCCCCCGCCCCGGGGCCGGGAAAGCGGCCCGGAGCTCCCGGGAAGGGCCCCGGCCCCTCGCCCCCCGCCTCGGCCGGCGGGTTCGCCAGCACGTCCAGCTGCACGTTCTGGTTGGCGAGCAGCGACTGGACAAGGCCGATGCTCTGCGTGGGCGACATGGCCTGCGCCGAGCTGTGGATGGGCGCGATGGGGATGTTGACGGTGCAGGGCGGGCTGCTGGCGGGCGCGCCGGGGGCGCCGGGCACTGCAAGGGACAACACAAACACAGAGCGTCACCGCCTGCCAGTCACGGAGGAGCCTTTCACACGATCTGCGACCTGTACAGACTCTGCTGCGGCCGGAGGGGCTGCTGCCTGTTCCCAAAACCGGTGGGTCAGACCTCAGTGGGGACATGCAAGCCAGCCCGTCTCCCATGAGCGACTTGTATCAGCTGGTGATCAATTTTAAAGCCACTTCTCGGGAGTGACACTTCAGAGCGCACTTTCAGCCTACACTAAGATCCCCAGGGAATCTCACAGTATCAGTTAGCATTCACCCATCATCCCGTTTTAACTGCTTCTGCTCAAATCAAAAGTTTTACTAAATCGGGACTCACTAGTTTTCAGGGAGGGACTTTTAATAGTAAATACATCAACAAACAATTGAACGAAACAAACAAGCAAATAAACAAAAGAAGTGGAGGCTAAGAAAGCTGGAAGACCTGCACTGAAGGCACTGCATAATATCTAGTATAAGGTTCCTAGACTCAATGAGCTTGGGAGAACTGGAGAACACAGACAATAGTTTGGAAAAGCTGAGTATAGTGGATGACAAACCAACCAGCAATTCAAAAGGAAAAAAGCTGAAACAGAGAGAGAGGAATATGATGGAATGAAATGCAGACAAAACATACAGAAGTTCTCAGAAGATTTGTAAGGAGAAAATGTAAGGAAATAGATGGGAAGCTAAAAAGATTCAAGAAGTGGGTACTGTAGTCAGGGCGACTGCAGCATTAATGTTTGGACAGGCTGCAATCAGAAATGTATAAAGAAGCGCATGTGTATTAGGAAAAATTTCCTGCATGTGGTGGCATTGAAAAAGGGAAAATGTGGCAAGAAGCAGTTTTCATAATTTTAAGCCAAAGCATGAAGAGTGCTCAATTGTTTGCAGCTCCTTTTGCAAAAAGTGGTTAATTCCAATAGAAGCTACCACTGAAAAGCTGGAGCAGGAAATGAGGACCCTGGATCCAAGAAGAGGTGCAGAAGTCAAGAAGGAACAAAACAGAACAAAGAGGGAAAACAGTAAATACTATATTAGAACTTCCAAGAATATTGCAAGTTCTTAATTTTTTAATTAAACTTCCTGTAAAAATCCCCACAGAAAATGATAAGTGAGTTGTATCAGCAGGTTTGTGGAAGGAATAGACCAAGGGTCTAAGTGTCATACCCAGTTTTTATCCAGTTTTATATCCATATTTAAGTGTGCCAAATTCTGTGGAGACCTGTGATTTGCGAGACCAGATCATATAAGAGATCCATTAGTCAGGACTCCTCCAAATGCTGCCCAGTTCCTAATTAATTTCTAATTAAAATTCTAGTCATCTACCTATGCCCTATAATTACATTTTTGGTAACATCAGGCTTTTATCAGCATCAGTCATGAATGTGGCAGGTGTACAGATAGCACTGTGGCTACACTGGCAACTACTTAGGGTAGTTCAGTTAATTCCTTTAGAGAAAGGCCAACAGCCAAACCTAGCTGACCCTAAGGCAGTTCTGTGGTTCTGTGCTTGGCTGGCAGGCCATGCTTTCACCCTGATGCCTGCAGGCTTAGCAATTTAGCTGCCAGAGCCTGAGGTTTAATTGTTAGCTTGGCTTGAGCAACCCCAAACGTTGCTGTCATTTTGCCTTATCCAACAAAATATCATTTGTTGTGGTGCTTAATACTCCTGAGTGTTTAAATCTAATGTTTTCTTCATTTCTCCAATATTTTTAATTGATTAGTTTGCCTACTTTGTAAGTTAAATCCTTAATTGTGCACTTGTCTTGCCAAATCTTTACGGACTACGTTAAAAAAACACCTGTCCCAAGTGTACCTCACTACGAACACTGCACTACCCAAGAGCAGCTTTCTACCGTGTTTTCTCTAATCTATCATGTAATCATTATTTACCCTGCAATATTTTTTCCTTTAGTATATGGTACTTTCTTCTTTTATATGCAGGCTTTAGAAAGAATATCCCCAAAAACATTTTTGAAGATTTAAGTGGCCACCATTTACTAAGTCAGAAATAAATTTTCAGAAGAAACTAGAAAGAAAAAAGTGGCTGTTATGGAGGACCGGGTAGTGTGTTTCTTTTACTAGCCTTCTCAAAGAGTTGTTACAAGAGTCTAATAATTTTCTCTCTGTTTATGTGGTATTCCTGCAATTATGAGCACCATTTCATCTCCTAGTACAGACTCAACCCAATTTTTAGGAAGAGATGTGAAAACTTTCTATTAACTTATTTCTTTTCTATTTAGTTTTTGTATTACTTTCTGACAGCTTGGACCATGTTTCATAATAGCAAATGTTGGGTGCTTCCTATTAATAATATATATATATATATATATACACAGTCACCAATGTCTGTATTGTTTTCTTCATATACTACAGGTATCATATAAACAGAAATTAAGCAAGCCAACTGCCCCAGATTGGGGGCCTGGGAAAAAAATGGGCTTAATTTGAAACATATAAGCATTTCATTAGAAGTCCAGAGGACTACTCTGATGCTCGGGTCAGACAAAAGCTTTGCTGCTGTCAGCAGTTGAAACCCTGGTCTGAAATAATAACACTTCCATTTGTTTCAATAGACTTTAGCACAAGTCTTTGATTGTTTTGCAGTGCTCACACTCCTTCCTCTTTAAAGGGTACTGGCATGACAGCCACTTCTGTAGTTCCAAAAACCTGTGACTGGGCAACAAGAATCCCCTAGTGATATTAAAATTCTGAAAATGTATGAATTTATCTTATTTTCTATTGTTTGTTAATTTTATTGGCATGATTATTTTGACCAGAGGAGGTATTGAGTACTTCCAGTCTTTTCACCTTCCACATCACATCACCTGCACCCAAACCTTCCCTGCACCTCTTAAATCTTCTGCTACCTTATATCTCACTGAAGTGAAAAATTCTTCCTGATCCTGCTTTGTTTATTGACTACTTTACTGCTTTAGACTCTTAGTAGTGGTAAAAATCCTAATGAGCATTTATCTCTTCTCAAAGGGCGGCTAAGCTTTATGGGAACCTGCCCTCCAACCCAAGCTCTTATCAACTGGCTGTGCTTTGATGCCATCAGGTCTCAAGAACAACCTGTTTGGGTTTCCAACACGTGACAATTCTGTCCTATCAGGATGCAGAATGCAAGGCCTCAGTCTGTGGAGAATTCCTAGCAAACTAAGATGAATTAGCAGATGACTAATTTCCCAATGAACTTGCAACTAAGGAGCTCTTAATGGATTATATTTTCCACACATTATAGAAAACAATGCCCATAGTACATGTTAGCCTTATTCTAACTCAGTTCTACAGGACCCCATCAGACTAAATGATTTTGCTTTGTGTGTTTACCAGACGGGACCATGACACAACCAACCTGACCTCCATCTAGCTTAATCCATAACACAGCAGCTCCAGCTCCTCCTTACCTGGTAAATCATCTTCGTCTTCGCTGAAAACATTTGGATTAAAGACAGGCATGTTAATGTAGTCCATTGAAATCTTCCGCACTTCTGGGAGATATATTGTCATTTGCCTGGGCTGCAGATGCAGCAAACTGGTTTTATATATTACTAGAGAAAGAATATAACAAGAAACAAAAAAGTCTGTTACACAAAGAGCATGTAAAGCTAAGGAAGAAGCAATTCCAAGCAGACAGAAGGGCTATGAATATTGTTATTCACTGTATACATGTGCATGTTATTTGTCAAATCACTATGCAACAATTTGCATAAATGGGATAAAAGAGATTATTGCTTTCAGCTATTTCTCTTTAAATGGAAGCAGCATCTCTGTAATTAAATAATTAATTTCATCATCTTGTAGTCACATCTATTTTTATGGAAGGAAAATACTTTTTTCCATTCTACTCTTGAAACTTTTCACCACAGGATGCTACCAACTTAAAGGTGAAAACTGGAAAGCTCTCAGGAAGGAAATCTGCTGACAGTTACTACATACAAAGAAATCCCACTGGGCTCAGGAAATCCCAGGGACCCAAACCTTTGGAGACTGGGAGAACATTTGAAAGAAGTTATCACTCTGTACTTAAATCCTTCACTATCACTGGCAGTGAGAGAATTAGAATGACCTGTGGTCATTCAACTGCTGATAGCAGTCCATATAGCCACAAAAGCTATCCATCTGATTCTGCATCCAGGACATCTTCATGTACTCCTGACCCAACTATACAATACAACACGGGACAAAATCAGTTTTCTAAAGAGCTCACTAAACCCCTAGCCTTGTGTTAATATTTCAGTTCAGAGCTCAGTTCTACAAGGTTGTACCCTGTTTTTTACCCAGCCTTCTTCCTTCCAACGGGACTACTGGGTAGAACTGGCCTGCCCAGAAAAAGGTTGATAGACAACTGTTGCTTTTAATGATGGCTACCAGGTTACTGATGCTCCAGCAGGAGAACCATGTGATGAGGCTCTGCACTGACCTGAAGAATCTTGAGCATGACGCTGTAGCAGCTTTTTCATATAATTTGTAGCTAAAGAACTATAAAAATCTTCTATTGCAGTAACTTAAAACCTATTATTTCTATAGTCCTCTTGCAAAACCCATTTTTTTAATTTGTGTGGGTTTTGTTCAAATAAGCTGTAAAAATAGAGGTCTAGGCTCAGATGTTTATTTACTGTTTTATTACAAGTGAGACTTTTAGCATTTTATTGATCATCTCATTATTGTATTTATAGAGTTTAATCTCCTTTAGTTACAGTGAATTCAATAAAATCTAATTTCCACTGTCCACAGAAAATAAGAGCTTTGTTAAAGAAGCCTTTTGATCACTTACAAAAAAATCTCATGGCATAAGTTTCTTGTTTGTTAGAAAGAATTTGACATGCAAAAAAATCAACAATTTACTTTTACCTGCACCAAGGTTAGTTGGTAGGAAAGCAGCCAAACCCACAATTTTAAATTTGGTTCCCCAGATATTAGATGTGACCTGAGCAAGGTAGTTGTGCTGCAAAACAAAAACAAGATCATTTTTGCCTGATAAAATCTGTAACAAGATCTAATAAAAAACTGCAGAACAGTCAAGCTATTGCAAGTGATAATGCAATTTCAGTTTCTCTTGTTTTTATTGTATTGAAACAGCTTAAAGTGCCTATGTACCAACAGTTTTACCCAGTCATTAAGAAGACTCATTCTGATATCTTAACACCATCAGAAATGATGTATGCAACAGCCTCAGGGGGATTAAAGCTTTGAAGATCTGAACAACACTTAGTGGAGAATGCCTGCTTAGTGAGAACAGGTCTGTTTTTTGGCACTTGCTGCTCCTGCCCAGCAGGACCACGGCTATTCTGTATTTCAGAGAGTGATACACCCTGCCCGTTGGTTCTATGCTCATTAATCACTTTATAGGACAATAAACAAGACAAATTAATTACTCATAACAACAAACATATATTCCCCTGGAGCTCCTAAAGCAACTTTCCAAACCACTGTTGCCATGGTACACATATTATGGGTCTGAAAGACCAATAGATTTTTCTCAAAGACTGGGAGTTATGCTGCCAGTATCAGGAGCAGGATCTAAGCCTCAGGTCTTCTGCTCTATTCGAAGGGCTTTTGGTCCTATCTCTGTGTAACTGCTCTAGAATTTTTCACATCAAGGAAAAAACAAAACAAGAGAGGAAAAAAAACCAAACAAAAGAAAATTAAAAGAACACAGGCTGTTACTAATGAAATGTACAACCCAGACAGTTCTACAGCCTGCTAAGTTTCATTTACCCAGAGGACATGAACACCACAAAGAGCACAAAGTGGTAATTCATTTCCTTCCTTCCAGTTAAGACTGTTTCATGTTAATTATGAAACAGATCATATGGTCCTCTGAAGCAAACATTTCCTTATCTCTGCAATCCCTAGCAAAGCAAAGAATTATGGTGGCATTAAGATGGGTCTGAGAAACTAATTAAGTGTTTTCACATACACTTTCAAAAAGCCAATAACATCACCTAGAATAAAACCTCTCACATGGATTCACACTGACAAAAGTAAGTGGTCCTAGTACTTACCAAACAACACCTGATACTCCACTGCCACTTGGGAACATTAGTACTGAACTGGATGATGCAATTCTCTAGTTCTATCTACTTATTGTAATTTAATAAAAACTTTTATTGCTGATCATTGGACCTCTATCAACATGCTGCCTCATGAAAGAAATGCATTTGAATCAGGTATGGTAACAATGTGCACAATACCTGAGTAATATCTTCTAAAGGAAACTCCCTTCGTGTCAGGCTTGGTGAACCAATAGAGGGTTTCCTTATTGGTAACCTTGGTGATCTTGAGATCTCCTGTGCAGCTCGTGACATCTTTGGAGATTTGCGAGCTTCTATATTGATTCTGCAGGTAAAGCAATACTTAGAATAAACAATAGTCAAGCTAAAATGCACAAAACTCATGTCTTTGAATGGAAAGATGTAAGTAGAAGACAACTGATAGAATGTCTTCAAAGTGACTAATAAAGACTGTAGAGCCTACAGGTTGGAGAATTACAGGCCAAATTTGAAGATACAGAAAACCTGACACACTTGCGGTAACTCATGCTGGATGCTTTCTAATTAATCTAATAAAGCTTACAGCAGTTCTGCCAGATACAATATATCTTCCACTAATCCCTAAAAGGTGTAGAGATGAATGATCTCAGCTATGCAGACTTTGAGCAAAGTCTCAAGAAATACGAACATGACACCTCAGCTGACAGATTTTCACATTAGTATACAGTTCCACAAATGTTGTCAGTGTTCCTACCCTAAGCCAAAAGTTATTTCTACCTTCCACTATACAAGGCGGGGGGGTGTCAAGAATACCAAGCACCTAAAGAGCTCGCTGGCAGAAATGTAACAAATGAAAGCAAAAAACGTCTGTTTGATGGACGAAATATATTCCATGGTGGCAAGAGAGGAAAAAAAAGAAAAGGTAGGAGAGTTTATAAAATCCTTCTTTGAGACTGCCTGGGGAGAAGTTTACTCTATGCCAATCTCTGAGATCGCCCCAGAACTGCACCCTGTGGAGGACCCCAACCTTAGAGAGGATTCCTATGTGCCGAAAGGAGTTTAACTTTTCATTTTACAAGGTGTCAAGAGAAAGAAGGAGAGGCAGGGGAGGAAGGGAGGAAGAGAGGCCACTTGGAGAAAAAGAAGTATCCAAGACGTTATTACCTGGGAAGTTTAGGTGATTTGCTAGCTCGACTGATTTTTGGAGATTTCTTTGCTGCCCAGTCATCGCTGAGTTCGATATCGCTGGAGTCAGAGCAGTTGCAGCTGTCAATCACAGTGGAAATCAAGCTGTTTCCATAGATTTCATCTATCAAGACAGGCCCCAGAAAATTTAAGTGCTGCTTCAGAAAACTGGTATAAATTATAACTCTCAGCCATCAGAAGCATAAACCTGATCCACAGGCAGCAGTTGAAACAAAACTTTGCAGAGGAAAATTAAATATCTCCACTCTGCCTTCAAACTCTGAATTTCCAATGGTTTGAACTCAAGTGAACATGATTCAGAGGGATGAATAGCATTCAATTGACTTTGAAATTGAGACTAAAGAATATTTTCTGCTAATTAGCAATCTATTTTCCATTACTCAGAATACAAGAAGTTCTCTTCTGTAAAACAGAAGGCAGCAGGGTATAATTTCAGAAGCTTCTAGGTCACACTAAAGATTTTTTTCACATCAGAAAAAAAAATCAAATGCCATCATCCATGTTGCATATATGCATTTTTAAAAACTCTTGAGGATTCAATGCCCAAAGTATTGCTAAATTAGTTTTATACAGAGCAACAATTGAATTCTACCTGCTTTTCCATCTGTTTTAGGATCCATGATGACAAACTCCGGCCGCAACTTGCTGATACGACGTCCTTTCAGGATGGGCACCAGTCCCCCAAGGTATTCCAAGTACAGAGTATAACATGGACCACCGACCTCTGGGTCATCTTCCGTCCGCTTCATGGTGCAGTGAAGCCGCTCATTACCAGCTGTTGGGTAGCTGACAAAATCTCTCATATTGTTTGGGTCTGGGATTGGAGGCTTAATTAAACAGAGGAAGGAAAGAGAAAGTTTTCTGATATTGGATGGGTTTTATATTTTTTTGTGGTGACTTAGTCCCAACACAACTAACTGAACTTGAGCCTAACTCTAATTTGGCAGGTGAAGATTAGTATAGGTTACTTCATGAGTTCTGCAGGACTCACATGCAAGACAGAGTGGCTGTGTGTTATTTTGTTAGGTCGAAAGCAGCTGTACGCAGAAAACAAAAACTAAAACTAGTTATGTCAAAAAGGAACCTATGGTCAGAGCACTGAATGAGACAACAAACCTGTCTTCAAGTTCCAGCTTTTATCAGAAACTTCTTTTTGAACTTGAGTAATGTGGTCAAGTCAAGTATCAGAGTATCTTGTCTCCTGCAGGCCCTCCAAGTGAACCTGGACACTCAGATCCCATTCCTGGTTAGTATTGGTACGTGCTATTATTACCACTATGCTACAATGCTGTCAACCATGAAAGAAACTTGTACTTTTTATATCACTTCCAAGCACATGTTCCATCCTAGCTAAGGGCCTATTTGTGTGCCATGTAGAAAAATACAAGCACAAAGCTTGGGTTACTTTGCCCTGCTAGCCAGCACATTGTATTAATCCATGAAAAACTCAGTCCTAAAGCAGTAGGACTGCTTTCGTCTAGGACAATATAGCCTGTATGACACAAATACTATTAATGTGTATAAGTCAACAGTTTCTTTCAAAATGAAAGTGTAAGAAAAAAATGATAGGGAAAAAAATAGGCTTCCTTAACCTGGCAAACGAGTATAGGCTGAGAAGTGGCCTATAATGTGGTCCACAAGCTGGAGGGGAAGAGGAATGTACACAGGGAAGAAGGTGCCTTGCCTAGCACTGATAGCATGGCTGACAACATAGGCTGAGTGGGTGTCTGGGGGTGAGCCAGGGTAAAGTATAAGAGCTGATGAGGCCCCAGAAACACCCATGAAACGGGACTGGCATGTGGCTTCTGGAAACACTGCTTCCACCTCTCAGCTACACAGTGCCACAACCGCTCTGCGTCCTGGCATCTCCTCTAGGAGGTGACACAAAGGTTGTTGGCAATGATGCATCCCTGTACACATCCCTCTGATCCCCACCAGGGCTCCCAGCCAACTGCTGCCTTCATTCAACTCATCCCATATCCTCCCCTGCCTTCCCTGACAGCCAGGAAATTGTCACAGATACTTTAGACAGGGGTGGTTCTGGAACAATGGGGAAAGCATCCTGGGGAGAAGGATGGAAAGAACGAGAAAGAACTGGAGACTTCCAGTCTGATAAATGCTCTGCATCTTTGGAGATCCAGGAGTTATGGTTACAGCAACACATTTATTGTTCTTTGACAAATGAAATGATTTACAGTTGCACAAATTGCCCTGATTAGCAGTACCCAAATGGAACCATGCTGAATTATTTATTTTGTAGGCATAATTTCTTCTCATTTAAGCTGGGCCAGTCCCACTGATTTAAAATTAGTTGCTCTAGCTCTGAATTGTTTTAACAAGGACCTCTGGCTTAAGAGACTGCTGTAACACATAAACAAAAAATCACAAAAATGTAATTTTGCATGTTTGAATGTCAAGCATTTACCAGGTAATGCTCTGGTTTATAGGCTGTGATAAACAGCTTGGAAATCCCAAGATGTTACTGAGGGCAAAACCATAAAACAAACAGGTTGCGCAAATGATTTTGCTTGTGGTACAGGAAAAAGTGTGATACCTGGTTCATTATTCCATAGCACTGTTGGAACAGTAAGATTAGCAGAACTCACTGTTAGTAGAAATGTTTGGGCAGCCCCAGGGCTTAAGCTTAACCTTCCTGGCAATATAAGCACTCATGTGACATGTAGAAGAGTTTTATCCCTGTGAATCCTTCCTGTAACCGTGACAGAACATTATCACCAGCGTGAGTTTCTTCAGAAGTCTTTGTGAGTCACCAGCATATTTTACCCTTCTAATGAACTTGGGAAGGCCCTCTCCATGGAACAATGCAGATCAGCATGTTCGAGCCTTCTTTACAGATTTTTAATAGGCACCAAATGCATCAGGGGGTCTTGAAGAGGATATGAAAGCTTTTAAAATGATAAAATCTTATAATTGAGCCATTGTCACTTAAGAGCACCATGGAGGGGGGAGATCTAGTACCACTTTCTTCTTCACAATACACACATTTCTTTCTTTTTTACCTTGATTGTTGGTATAAAGGCAGTGGTGAGGTACGAGCAGAGCCGAGGGGGTAGGGTCAGCTTGCTGATGTCCTTGTCATCCCGCAGACAGCTGGCAATGGTCTGCTGGCACAGCAGCTGCAGACTGGAGACCCTGTGCTCCACCCTGACCACGTACAGCGCCGGCCCAGAAGCCATCAGCAGGCGGGAGTCTCTGTGACCCCAACAGATCGAGATGATGGGACGCTGCATGAAGAGCAAAAGAATACAACTTCAAAAGATTTTGTGCAAAAGATCTTTTTTCCAAGATGGCTGCACAAGTGCATGAATTCAGCACCAATCACATTACCCTAAGTCTTCCAGAAACTTAAAAGTGCCCACCACTGCCCACAGAAGAAGAATGTGAACATCTCAAGTCATCAGAAACAGCCGTTGATGTTTATTCAGTGCTTTTTACTCAGAATGCTTAAGGGTCTTCATACAAGGAATCAGCTACCAAATTCAGTACCTAGATAGGATAAGCGACTTTAAAGACACAGGGTGTTGAGAAGCAGGATCTTTTGATGCCCCATCCAAATGATTTATTCAGTCATCTAATCAGTCTTCATCCACTGGTGATAGCTCATATTTTACAACTGAAAAGTTAAATTATATGCCCAGAGACACTTAAAAAACAAGTGGAGAAAGCTCAATCAACTTTCTCAGCTGCAGTGTCTCTTTTGAACTATTCCCAGAGGAACTGAACTGTGAAAGAGCACCAGGAATGCAACTGACAATGGCCTTTTGTCTTCTACTTGTCTACGCTCAGAAATGTCTAAATCATGACAGTAAAAACAGAAAGCATGAGGGTCAACTGGTACTAAATCTCACAACATGAATCAGAATAATAATAAACAAACAACTGCTGCTTAGGACATTTATTTCCTGCTTGCAAGAAGTTCCCTAAACTTTCCTTCTAAATCCCATATTTTCTTGTAAAGTACCAGTCTGTTGCAACCCGCTCTAGCCCTATGATCATAACTTTTGCCCTTAAGCATTACTTGCACCCACCTGTCATCTCTTGCTTTCTGTGCTACAAAGCACTTGTATTTGCTTAAATAGACACACCCTGTGGTATTTTCAATTCCATCTGCTACCTCTGTGTCAAGAAACAGCACAGAGTAAAGATGAAACTCTAAGTCCATGAAGAATACTGAACAGCAGGCTGCCATCAGTGAATTACAAAAGATTAACTCCTTTCTGTGAAGGTCTTCCTTATTTTCACAATCTGGGGCACTCAGAACTGTAAGCAAACATGTTTTTCATCTATAAAATGAACTGTATTTATTGAAAGGTCAAGGTGTCTTTGGAATATCTTTTCACAAGACGCATCAAACAAGAAGACAGGGTCAAGACACCGCCAATAATAGCTTTTGTTCACTCCTCTATTAGCAGCACAGTACCCACATAGTAGGGTTAAGATCAGCCCAGAGGTTATTCAGCTGGTCTGGGAAAAAAACCCCTCCCCTCCATTTAAAAATTCAAGATGCTTAAAGGTGAGAAACTGGGAAAAGTTTTTTTTTTTATGTGACTGATATGAAGCAAAATGCAACTGGCACAGCACTGTATCAATGTTTATCATCAAGATAAACCATTGGATGAAAAACTTTTTCACAGAAGAGATCTTCCCTACTATGTCATCTTAACCCAAATTTAAATTTCAAGGAAAATACTGGTTTTAAAGTAGGAGGAATGAAGGAACTTCATTTTAATTATATCTAGGCAATACCACACACACACACCTCCACGAAGGCACAAATCTTCAGGCTGACTGATACGCAAATAGAAAGCAGCAACATGTGAACCTTGTGATTTTCACAGTAATTGTTAAATGCATTTTGTAGTGGAGAACTTCAAAAGAATTGAGAAATGCTTTGTGTACAATCAATAATTCTACATGGCATGTCATAACCATAATCTGTGGGATACAGCCTTACATTTGAGGAGAGGTCACAAGAAGTATCCCCTGCTGGTTGGTATTTTCATGATTTGTGAGCGTGGCTCGGCCCTCGCACTGTCTGGCAGCAATGAGACAGTTCAAACTGCTTACAAAATAAATGCAATTGAAAAGGCACTGGCACAAGATAGGTACCTGCCACATCTACTGTATGACAGCCTGAGAACAGCACAGTAGAAGTGACCCTGATTTTCCCCAAGGGCTGAATCCCAGCATGGGCAGAATTATCTACCTGATCATTACTGTGGGATCAAAACTGCATCCTGCTGTTCACCTTGCATCAGCTACAGCTTACCTATAAACACAGTGAGGGAACAAACAAGTATGTGACTTGGCACACAAATGTTTATTTATTGGATAGACTTTAATGGCAGAAGAGAAGTCTAATATCCCAGCTATCATAATCCAGTAGAGCACACTCAGACCTTGTGTCTTATATTGCAGCTATTATAACCCAATATATCACACCCAGGTAGGACGTTCTTCATCCAAATAGAGTCAAATAAAATCACCTCTTCCCTCAGGTTACTGCTGCACGCAGAGAACATCAGAGGTGCAGATAGTAGCAGTGCAAGAACCTTTGCAATCTAAAACATGGTCTCAAGGGAAAGGTTTTTCAGAAGCTTTGAAACATGGGGTGGGATCTCTGGCAACATAGCTCTGTTGATCTCCGTAGAGCAAAGTCAGAAGTTGAAAATTTCACCATCATTTTCCAACAGGCAACCATAATTCTAAACTTCTCAATGTATGATGCTCTTATATTCTGTTTATGAATGTATATGCAAACAATATGTGAGTGGGTGCATGGTTAAACAAACACACACACAAAATACCTTCAAGTGCTGTACTGTTCGTAAATCATGACATTTCTACTCTTCCATTTGTACAATTAGTCTCCCCACTTACCTCACTATGCTTTAATATTTTCAACCTCAAAAAAGAGCACTTGCACCACACCACCAGACACACCTTGCCTTTCTTTCTCTGAAATGGTCAGATCCTTGGTGCTCCTCCAGCCCACTGTTCAGCAACATTTCATTTACAGTGAAGGGCTAAGACTTCAGATGAGCTTCAGGGAAAATTAGCCTGTCGTTACAGGCTTGGAGAAATAAAAGATCACCCAAATGCCAGATCTGACCTGACCTTTAAAGTACTGCTCCAATAATATTTTTCAGTAACTATGCTTCCTAGTCTTTCCCTTGCTGGACAAGGGATATGAATCAATTATTGCAGTCAGTTATGAGCTGGCCACAGCTTTCTTTTCAAACTCTTCTGAGAAAAACAATTGACCTCCAACATCCACCACAAAAGTATTGCTCCTCATAAAGCATCCACTTATTTGCACTGTTGTAGCAAAACGAGGAAGTACAAAAGTTGTTGTATCCACCTTTTACAAAATGAACGAGCAGACTCTAGGACAGAACAATTTTATTTTCCATGTTTGCACAGTTGGGTTTTTTTTTCTGCTAGGAACAAAGAAATGCAGCCACAAATATAACATGAGAATTTCTAATCTCACTTTGCATATATAAATAACATTAGGCTTTGAAAAATCTCAGCATAAACTGTAAATACCTGAATGAATTCCAGGGTTTAAATATCAACATGTAGCTCTATGATAATTGTATATTAGAAACCATTGGCTAAAACATAAGAAAGAAAGAAAAAGATGCTTTATCAGGAGAAATGCTGACTGAAAACACATCTCAACAAGTGACTAACAAGGAGCTCTATTGCCATTTCTTTCCAATTGGGCTTGAAAGTGAGCTACAGCTACTCAAATATGTACCCCCAACTGTGATGTCGATTCCCCTTAGAAAAGCATGCAGGAATGGATATTCCCACTCAAAGCTCTGTGGTTGCTTCTTCTAAGTCACTCTACTGTCTCTCTAACAGGAAAGAACATAATTTATATACATTCCATCACTTGTATGCAGTTCAGTCAATGAAAACACTGTTCTAGCTGATTCTTGCTGCCTGCCTTGAGCTCAGAAATCCCGAGCCATGGGGTCTGCCTGCTACTCGAACTAATCCCTTGTTCGTTAGCACTGGGACTCCCACTGGTAATGAAATAAAAATAGTATTATTCCAAGGCAGAAAGCCCAGGAACTAGCAGGACTTTTCTTAGGAGGAAGAACATAACTGTGAAATAGTATCCAGAGAATGGCATGTGTAAGTAGGTTGCTCTCACTCCAGATTGCTAATGTGGAGATGCACACTCTTCCCTCTGAGACAAACTGCAAGGTGCAATGGCTGCAGTGCCCACCTGGCTCTTGTGAGTTGTGTGTGCACACCTCTGTGCTGCCACAGCATTCATGGATGGCTGTGGGAAAGGAACCTAACACTCCTTCATTCTTCTGCTCCTCATATTTACAGTAGAAAAAATATTAACTGCTAAGAACTGACAGTGAAAAATGATGAGAAATCTGCCACTGCTGTGGCCCGATATGATTTTTGATGTAGTAAACTCTTATTTGATTTGCAGCTGTTTCTTATATCCCCTCTATTTCTACAGTATTTTTTAAAGAAGTCAATACAACAAGATTCCACTGTAACAGAAAGACTTGCTTAGAAAAGTGTCTTCAATTTCCAGTGCTGATCAAAATCCATTTCTGCAGCAGAGATGATCCTATGGCCTATATAAAGAACACCAGGGTCTTTATTGATATCCTAAAGGGTGTTTCACCAGTTAGTCCTAAACCGTTGCTTTTTTCCTGTAAGAAAACTAATTCTTCTTGAAGTTTTGTTTTCATCCCATAACAACTAAATAAAATTGATTTCAAGGAATATAAAAGAAAGGCAACATTACTTCAGATGCAACAAACCTGAACACTCTGTGTGAAATAAATGAAGTAAGCAAGGTCTGCTCAGCTGAATAACATAAAAAGCAGCCTCTTCTTTCAGAACTTTTTGATCTGAATCAAACCTAAAATTGCAAATTCCTTCTCTAGCCTTTACAGAACTACCAGGTTTCTGCAGGATCATATAATCTTAAATCTATTTATTTAGATGCTAGGACACTTCCAGCAGAGAACCAGTCTCTGAAATGCTGACCAGTTCCAGCAGGTCTATAGCAAGTTGGCTGTCTTCTCAAAGACTTCTGGAAACTTCTTCCATAAAGATTTAGTCTTTGGTGCACCACTTTGAATTAGGCTTAAAAATATTACACTGATAAACTTGGGGTTTTTACATTTAATCTTGTTGCTTATACCACATGTGAAGCTTAGTTCACTCTCATCCTCCCTCACTGCACTCGAGATGTAATCTGTACTCACACCAGTTTACACAGTGATGGAAAAGCTTAAAGTAATGTAAATTTACTGTAGAATTAAAGGTGTATGGAGATCTGCCTTTTAGCTTCAAGTCTGTGCTCTTGTTCCCCTGGTCCTCCTGGGATATATTTAAAAAATCATAAAAACTGAAGAAGGGACTAAATATAAGCCACAAGACTGAACCATTAGAAAGAAAATATTCACAAGTATGTTAAAGTTAGATAATATTGAAGATAGATAGATAGATAGATAGATAGATAGATAGATAGATAGATAGATAGATAGATAGATAGATAGATAATATTGGCAGTTAGATAATATTGAAGAGATCCTGTAGGAAACTCCTGTTTGAAGTTCAGGATATAAGAAGATATGAAGCATCTGTTTCCAATCAGCAGTGACAGCAGGTACAGTTAGTTGATATAATAAAGACTTGTCTGCACATTGGATGAGAACTTCTAAAGTGACAGAACTGGGTTGCAGCATTTGGTAAACAATTTTAGCAGGACTATAAAACTATCTTAAATGAGTTGATTATTCTCATCCCTGCTTGATGCCAGGGAAAGGCTGTGAGGACTTACCAAACAATGTAAGAAATTAACATTCTTCCAATAAAAACATTATGACCAGCAAGGCAGCCTGCTGTTGCAATCTCATTTCTAAATGTTGAAAAGGCAGGACCATGAAAAACTGGGCATATTTTTGGTGCCTCACATTGGTGTTCATGATATATACAAGGACAGGTGTAGAAAGAGGTAAATTTTACAAAAATTGATAGCATGTTTTTGAATAGTCATCAGCTGATTGCCAGCCCTTAAGATATGCGCTCTGCATAGAATTCAGTTCAGTATTTGATCGGCCCTAACCGATGCTTTCTCAGCTCTTTTCACTCTATTCTGCAAACACATTCTTGCAGAATGCCAGGCTGAAGCCCCAGAGCCAGGAACAGGAGCAACTGCTACACTAAGCCAACTCTACCACTCTGTTTATGAATATTGTTTTTCAAGCAAAGCTACTGCTTTTATATTTCAATACTTCTAAACAAGTGTGATTTCCTAATCTAGAGTTTTATAGTCAGCAGACTAGGTTTATGAACTATAAATTCCTACACTAAAGGTAAAAGCTTAGGAGAGTTAATCAAACGAGACAGAGGATGCCAAAAGTAAAGCTGGAGGAGAAGGCAGCATATAAAACATCTTGAAGGGATCCATGACAACAGTCATCACTGAGATGAGTTACCTGCAGTTCCAAAATCTATTCTTACCACTGGGGTTTTCACTTTATGCTCAGTAACATTCCAGCCAAGTTGCATATAAATCCTGTTAGTCTTAGACTGAGTTTTGTTATAAACAATAAAATGTTTCCTGAATATCCTACTGAAGACAGGACAAACAAACAGCAGAAATAAAAACAGTTCAGTATATTTTACTGATAAAATTTTCAGACATCTGCTATGTCAAAGAATTGGGAAAGAGGACCACACGGAAAATCAGTTTTGTACCTGTAATCCATTATTTTTTACATTCATGGTTGTTTTATTTTTTCTGGCTTTTGTATTCAGAACAACATTCATTTATAATCAATGCACTTCTCCAGTCACACATTTGCTTCTTCATAACAAAGTCTTAGCAGAAGAGTTCAAGATGAGGAAGTTCTTTTATTTTCTTAAATTTTTTTTTTTTAGTTTAGTAACCAGTGATGAATCTTATAAAATCCCATTACAAGGCTGGCTGCCATGGTACAGAAAACTAATTAATTTACTCTGATGAATTTGTCATGAGACAAATTACTAGGACCACTGATTCACTCTCATCTTTGCAAACACATCTTTGGAGCAGAGGCACAGCATAACAGAAATTACCAGCATCTTTTTTGCAACGGTGGTTTTTATCTGGTTTTGTCAGTAAAATGAATACTTAACAATGTTCTAGCATACCTGTTATTTAGCTGCTAATACTGCTAGACCAGCATTCAAATACATAGGAGAATAAGGTCCACATAAGCAGATACAGGAGTTCTTCTGAAAGACCCCTCACTTCCTCCTGCAGCTGAGTAAATACGACTTTAGATGCACCAAATAAAGAGACTAAACACTGACTAATATAAGAAGAGGGGTGGCTCTAATTTTAGGTAGGTTTACACGCACAGCTTTTTAATACACATAAATATATCAGTTTGAATGCTATTTTTATTCTGATTTCCAAGGGAAATGAGACTTCTTGATTCTGTTATTAAGTGGTGGTTGCCTCTCCCTGACTGTCCTCATCCTTCACTTGCAACCTGGCTTACAACTTCTGAAGTTGTTGGCTTTTAGTGTGTGGTTGACAGTGGAAGAAGAAATAGGAAAAAATCTCCATTACATTAATATATTGCTATTCCAAACAAAAACAGCAGCTGGAAAGAGAAGAAAGGGTTATGTTACCACTTCCACTATTAGAAATACTGCAGCACAAACTTGGTATTCACCTGTTCTCCTGACCTCTCAGCTGCCCTGTAAGCACTCGCATAACGGCAGATTAATTAGCCCCCCACTTCGGCCACAATATGTGCTTTCTCCCAGCTGGCTAAGTAGAGGAGAAAGGAGACGAGCTGAAAACATGAAAAGAAGTTGAAGCTATACATGGAGAACTAGAGGAGATGAAAGTATTTAAATGAAGGAGAATTTGAGATTAGCAGGAACAAAGGAGTGAGGGAAAAGCCTGCACACACGTGTACCTTGGGGCAACCTGACCTGGTGGGTTCTGATGCTCAAACCACAGAGTGATTTCACAGCTTGGCACCAGAGGGTTCAACAGCTAATGTGCACATACTGAGTTCTGGTACTGAAGGAACAGAACAAGGTTTGATTTTCACCTGGGCTGGGAAAAAGCAACACTGATATAAATATGTTTTCTTCAGAACTGATCCAGAGAGGAAAGGGCTGTGCTACTTTGCTGCAAGGGCTACGTTTAAGACAATAAAACTGTGTTTATGGGTAAGTCCTTTAGGTACCTAAATCAGCATTAGATATCACTGTACATATTTAGGTTGGCTTTAGAGACCATTATTTTACACTTTACACAACTAAAGAATTCTATCTAAATTAGAGTGCTAAGGTTAATAAGCACAGGTTAATGCTAAATATAAGCAAACACAAAGGCTTAGCAGATGGTTTACTATGTCACCCTTTTGCATCCATTCCAGATCAGGATACTGGAAAAAAAAATTATAATACATGGTATCATCATTAAATAGAATTAATATATCTACAGCATTTTTCTTCACTTTTAGATTTCAAAGCTATTATAAAGTTTCATTACTAGCAGCAGAAATCAGAATGGAGTCATCCCTATTCTGCAGAAAACGACACAGAATTACATTCAGCTGGGCTCTGCAAAGACCTATGAAGCACGCTGTGCTCCTGAGCAGCTCATGGACCATGTGCTGGCATTTACTTGGCAAGCTACATGACTGAGGTTACTGCATCACACCAAATGATTGTACATTAGGAAATTACAGTAACAATCTTGTAGTTATGATACTGGACTTGGAATATTTTTTGTCTAGCTCTTGGCTCTGCTACAACATTAAGCAAGTTATTCTTTTTCTCCTCAGTCACTTATCCATAAAACAATAGAATTTTATTTTTCTGTCTGTCTGTTCATGGCCCAGTGATTTTGGGAAACAAGACTTTCTCCTTTCATATTCCCACAGTACCTAGCACAGTGGACCTTAGAATCAGGTGCAGTCTTGCATGTCTACCTTCATGCAAACAACCATTATTTATAGCATATTTTTATCTATGTTGTGATTTAGGATGGATTCGGGACATTTTGCAACCTTTTCTACATTGCCTGTCTACAGCAATGAGCTAATGTGGGAAAAACATGTCAGCAAAGCATGGAGAACAGACTCAAAAATGCCTCCTACCTGCACAGGTGTCTCCAGAGTGTAGATATGTTCCCCACGCACGTTGTAGAACTTGACAAGTGCGCTTTTCAGCAGGGAACCATTGCTGAGGTCAAGCAGCTGGTTCTGCTTCTCCATGCCTGCTACTGCAAGCAGGTCTCCTTGTGTGCACCACTGCACCACCACATCTGAAATCACAAAGATGGTCTGCAATAACCACTGACTTGGAACAACAGGAACAGCACTTCCAGATGCTGCAAAGTCACTGGAAGAGATAAAACATGCTCTCAAAAGTTACTTAAGTACTTAGAAACCAACATCCTTTCATTGAGATAGTAGAAAATATGCCACAGATGCACTTTTGAGAATGACTCTTGATTTTGTAAATTGAAAAAAAAAAAAGTGTAAAAAAAAATCTTTTCCTCTCTATGGTGAGTCTAGAATGAGATCAGTAGCTGCTCCTAAACATCTAAGGACAAAAATTTATTAGAGATGTTGAAACTGATGTGGGGCAAGTAAGTGGAATCAAGTTAACATGCAAATAAATAATCTTACTAAAAAGAGTGTTTGTCTGGAAGGGCCTATAGTGGTAAAAACAGGAATATCTGGCAATGCTTCATGTTCTCACTGGCTGTCAATATAACTTTTAGCATAATGCAAACTAGAGTTAGAACAGTATAACATGAAACTAGAAGTATTTGGATTTGGTCCATAAATACATATGGCCTCCATATCATATGTTGTCATTTGCCACCATCGTACAAAGATGATGAGGGCTCTGGAGAATCTCTCTTACGAGGAGAGACAGAAGGAGCTGGGCTTGTTTGGTCTAGAGCAGCCTGAGAGTGGATTTCATTATCTCAAAGGTTTGTGCTGAGAAGTTGGTGCCAGACTCTTTTCAGTGGTGCTCAGTGATAAGACGAGGAGCAATGGCCATAAACTAAAGAACAAGAAGTTCCACCCCAACATGAGGAAGAACTTCTTTACACTGAGGGCAGCAGAGCACTGGAAGAGGCTGCCCAGGGCGGTTGAGGAGTCTCCCTCTCTGGAGACGTTCAAGACCCACCAGGTCCCTGTGTACCTGTGTGAAAAAATGTTCTCTTTCTGTGTAACCTGTTCTAGAGGACCCTGCCTTGGCAGGGGGGTTGGACTGGCTGATCCCCAGATGTCCCTTCCAACCCTAATGATTCTGTGATTCTGACTTGTGAAAATCTACTCAGCTGCTTAGCAGGGCTTTGCTGGAATCCTACAGGGATTGCTCAGAGTCTCATATACACGGATATGAATATACATATCAGTTACTTCTCTTACAGGCACCTCATGATAAGGGACGCCCACAGCTTAATTTGGGCATGCTTATTGCAAACCCTTATATCTTCTAGTTCTTTGTAACACTTCTAGAGTAACTCTAAAACAGTATTTTGCATTTCTGCTCATGTTTCAAAGGCAGACTTGCATGTTCAAGGAATACCAAGCTAGTCTTTAAATCTTTTTACTCTTAAACCAGAGGTGAAAGGTATCTATTTTGTGCTGAGACAAAATGAAGGTAAAGACAAAACTTTTGTGCTCTGGGATGCTCAATCTGCCAAGAACCTTTTGAAGACACTTGTGGGCGAGAAGCTGTCTTCAAATGAAGAAGCAGGAGAGAAATGAGAGTTGGCAGGAAGGATCTCAAAATTGTTTCAAGTTGTCAACTTGTCATTTTCAGGGACTTTTATGTACAATTTTAAATGGTTTTATATTATTTCAACTTTCTGATATTTCTCATGGGAATTATGCTTCTGTACATATCAGAGGGAAGCTGCATGTTCCTCAAGGTACTTTTTCCATAGCTAGGCATTGTATGCCTCTTGTTTTCTCTTAGTTTTCAGCCCTCTAAGTAACCTACAATGGGATTTAATTAATTCATTTTTTTCAGAGAGGAAAAAGATAGGCAGGTTAGAAATAAGCAAGGCAAGCTGATCAGCTCCACTTTTGGTAACTGGATAACTATGGAACTATCATAATGAAAACACTGTCTCCTTTGGATACATATCTTCAGGTAAAACTTTCAGCTGATCCCCATGACAAGAGGAAGAGGAGTAATTACTTTGTTCAGCAGTTTTCTCTCTCTCAAAGTCCTAGAATTAGACTGCTGCAAGGCAGCAAAGGGGTGGATGTGGGCTGCAGCATCCCCCCAGGACAGTGTGGCTCTACTGATACACTTGCACTGCCAACAGGATCTTCAATGACTATTGGACCTTTACACAAAATAACTGAGAAACAAGTTCTCAGCACCAGCACAGAGATTAAAAATCAAATGGAGATTTCATCTAGGGTAACGGTCTGCAAGTGAATCAGTCACCCCTCAAAACTACTTTCCAGACACCACAGGCATGTATAACAGCAAATCTTGAACACAGAGCACTGTAAATGTGCAACAGCTCTGCAGACAGTAGTTGTGGCTAACTAGTACCATTAGTAGATGCAGCTCAGTAGTTCTGCAGGTAGCAGTGCATTGAGAATCAGAGAGTTAGAAAGCACAAAAAAAATAAAGGATACACCTGAACAGTTCAAGACCTCCACTAGGACTGACAAAACTACCAGGACTGTTCAAGCTGGATGAAAAGAGCTTTTATTTGGATAATCAAATTATCAAGGCTTTTCCTCGTCAATTTAACATAAATATTCCCAGTAAAATGATGGTTCTGCAAAACGAGTAGAAAATACATATTCTATATATATTAAAAATATATTGTTACTGCTTGAAATAATTTCATAGTTGTCTACTTTAAAAATACATAGAGTAGCCTACAGCAGCCTATAAAGGCAAGGATATCTGCTGCAGAGACCACTAATACTTTGAGATTTTAAACACAAACACATGAACAAGGACTTGTAGACAATATTGAAGACCATACTTGGTGGTCTTGCACATTCTTGCTCATGATAAATCCAGTAAAATTTAGAGTCACTTGAAAAAAAATATGAAGACACAGGAAGCATGAACATTTATATATAAACCAGGCATAAAATACTTTCCACTGTACAGTGCTTAAAGCAACAGACAGTGATATCCCAATTATCTTTTTCTGTCACACACACACATTCCCAATCCAGTAAGATGCTGCATGCTTTTTGTCTACTGATGAAAAAAATGTAGTCCAGTTTATAACTAATAAAAATATTCCTACCCTATCTAGCACATCAATATCTTGCTACAGGAAGGTGACATACTTAAGGGATCTTTTTTGCTCTAATGAAAGTCAATGGGGAAAGAGAAACAGGACAGACATCCTCAGCAAGATAGAGCCCTGCAACTCTAAAAGAGAGAATAAGATGGGGTTTGTTTCTCCTGCTGTTCCCAGTTGAAAGCTAGACTAGATGACAACTCGAGACTGCTCAGTACCCTAATTACTCTAATATTGTAGAAATATTGAGTTGCTGAGCAGACCCATTGGTGATTATCACAAGAGCTTCTTTAAGTTGGCTCCAGTTTTCCACACTCTTGGTATCCTTTCAGCTGATGTAGTTTCCTGGATTGTAGGGTTGTCTCACGATGCTGCATTTTGCCACTCGCACTTTTCTTGTGTTGGCACAGATGGAAAAAGAAACCTCAAAGGTGATGTTTTTACCTCCTAAGACTACTGTATGTAACAGATCACCCAAAAACTGTGGGGCTGATGTTAGGGCAACTTTTCACCAAAAACATCCCACTATTTCGGAATAGCTAAGAGTTTGCTCCAACAGCCTAATTCTCTTTTCATCGAATTTAAAACTAGTTTACCTATGGACATGAAAAAGCTTCAGTGGAACCTGTATTTAAGTATGTGCCCCATGTGCTGTATTGAATTGAAATGTCTCTGCAGGCAAAGCACAGTAAATTGCACAGAGAGTGCTGGCAAAGTAGAGGACATTTTTAATAGGGAAGAACAGTAAAAATTTCAAAGTGAGTTAAAGATTTAACATGGAATACAGATTGTACAAACATTCATGCACATCGCTTAGCAGAAGTATAGTAATTAATCACTGGAATTTTTCCTCTCTCAGAATAACTTGCCTCTTGACAATTAATAATTCTAGCAAGTTTTCAATAATTGTGATAACCACAGCAGCATTGCAATTTAAAACAGGTTACCAAAAGCATGGAAGACCATGTGAATTAGACATGCAAAGAAAGTGTTACGCAGCAGAGACATTCACGCAAAGAACCATAATCATATTAATGCATTCTGCTGGAAAACTGCAAAACAGATCAATTGCCCTACAAAACTGCCACAAAAACACGATCTCAAAAACATTGGGAAATTTTTTTTTCAAACACAAAAACTTCATCAGCCAAGACCTGCTCTTCCTCCAGCAGGTGTCACTGCTGGAAACGGCAATAACAGCACTGAGGGCTCCTGGGTTAAGGAGCAAGAACCACAGAAACATAACCTATGCACACATCATCAAAAATACAAGAAAAACAGGGCAGAGGAGAGGGAGAAATGGCTTCTTTTTGTACCTTTCAACCCTGAGCGGATGATAGTAGGAGACAAGTCATCATAATTGTTCATTAGACTGATGTCTCCTGACGTGAAGCTGACAGTAAGTAGTGGCTTGGTGTTCTGCACCGGCACAGGATACGCAGCTGGTCCATCTGCAAAACAAGGCTCTGAGTGAGCAAAAGGTAAACGACCAAAAATAATCACATCCAGGCAGAAACACACTGTACTTCAGCCTACCACCATCAGAAGTTGTTCCAAGCCTCTCTACCTGCTTATTTCTGCAACATCTGTGGGCACAAGCAAAGCAGGTTTAGCTAGTTAAGCTCCTCTGTTTCAGTGAAACCCTAGTGCTTTTACTTTGTCTTTTTTTACTGCAGCATATCCACAGTGATTAATGCATACACTATTATGTTACATAGTGGTGTTTTTCAGTCTTTCTCCATTCTCAACTCCCCAAAGTGACAAAAAAATTGAAAACCAGTGCCTTAGAAGGCTTTCTTAGAACACCAGTTGAAAACCAGCATGATGAACAATACAATAACATTAAAAACTATTTGTTCTATACACTTCTTGCTTGGGCGGGTGCCAGGGACTCCTCTTGAAGTCACATAGAGACATTTTAAGAACTTCTAAGAGAACATACTGACCTTTCACAAATTACTGCATTTTAAATGTCTAGGCAGCAGCATGAAAAGATACCTGCCATTCTGCATAACAGGATCCAATGCACCCAAATGTAGAGGTGAGCCCAAATGGAACACTTGGCTTTAAAATCAATTTCTGCAAAGTCTCTGGCCCTCTGAGTTTGTTTTTCAGCGATTCACTAAAATTCCTTTGTTCAAATACTTCATGACCAATATTGCCATCTGTAGCTTTTGCTGTTTAACTCCTGTTTATAGTTTCTGAGAGGAGATGCCACTGGTCCCTGATTAAGTGCCTCTCAAGGCACAGTCAACATCCTTCCAGTCAACAAAAAAGGCAGAACCAGTTTGAGCAGGATTACTTCCTGAAATTGTAAAAAAGCTGATGAGAAAGCATTTTGAAGAAAGATGTCTAGTAACTTAGCACCTCTGTGTGTATATAATTTAATAAGAAAATCCCAACAAACTTCTAGTCCTTCCTACACATCTGTGTGAGTCAAAGGCTTGTCACCTTTGAGAGGTTTATGCTGCATCTGCTCTAAAGAAAACACATCATGTTTGGGTAATCATTAAAATAGGCTTGTAGGCTTGTAATGAATCCACCCACCCCCTGACTGACTCAGAAAAAGTGAACACATTTGGATCATTTAAGTTCTCATCTGTGTACTCTGCAATTTCACCATCCTCCAACTGGAACCTCAGTATTTTTAAAAAAACACAACAAAAACCCAGGAAAAGTACAATTTATTGTTGTTATCTGTCTTGCTTTAGGAGCTTGCTAGGTTGGAGTTTTTTTCTTTCCTTCTAAGGTAAGAAATCTTACCCAGTACCAGAAGTGAGGCATGAAAGCCAAAGCAAAGTTCAGTTTTAAAATATGCTAACATTTTACCAGGTGATCAGATTATCTTCTTTCAATATTTGTTAAATATATAAGCTTATTATATAGACATATGTAGTGGAAAAGGTAGATTTTTGATCTCAATCCAAACTACAGTTAAAACTGCAAAAGTCCTCAACTGAGAGGTTCAGATCCAGTGCAAATTGAGAATTATTTCTGAATAATTGTTATGTATTTAAAATGTTCATTGTGCAATCACTGTTATACAAACTTAGTTCTTAATTTAGTTCAGCCTTTTTAGACTGGAACAGAGGAACACCTTACCTTAGCTTAGGAACTGATCAATCACATCAACAGGAAGTATTATTATTACCTGAATGAGAAGGGTGGGACTGACTGTGCATGGACACGTAGGCCTCTTATGTCTTTCCTACTGATGATTTCCAAAGACTTTAAAACCAAAATATTTCACCAAACAAGTTGTATTGAGACTAAAGGAGAGGGAAGGATTTATTCCTGACTCTCAAACTGGCAATGTGCTCTGAAGCATGTGAATGAATAACTCCATCCAGCTCCAGTCACCAGGCTTCCAACCTCGTGTAATTGCAGGAAATATCTTCATTTCTGAGCCTTCTGTGGTATTTATGGAACTCTTTAGGTAAGGACTATGAAGGATGGGACTGTAATAATGAGCATTACAGAAATCCTATGAAACAGAGATAGAACTAAATATATAGTACTTAACCCCATGCCTAGTACTGCTGTCTTTTCACATGAATCTATATAATAGTGCATTAATTTCTGTGGCTGCACTCTGACTACCTCCATACACACAAACCACTGCAATACCTCATATCCTCTTATTAGTGAAAGCATGTCCCTGTCTACTGTTTTTCACTCACCCTCACTGAAAACTTATCAAGCTTTGTGTTGTTACCTCATTTGTGCAAACAGGGCAGAGCAGCACAGGTGAGGTATGACCTGCAGCAAGCCTTGCTGGTGGCAGAGCTGGGAACAGACCCACTCTCCCATACCAGCTCTCTGCTCCATGGGAGCTTGAAACTGTGGCCTTGAAACCCTGCTGGTTTTGTAGGGCATGAACAACGCCCTGGCATTTGAGATGTGTTCATGGGCATGTGCAAAGCTGAAACAGAAGGATGTGCACACAACCCTACCCTGTGGTGGGGAATAGTCGTCGGAGTCTGTGTCGCTCTCGCTGCTGTCCTCCACCAGGAAGCTGGGGTAGTTCCAGGACATGTTGAGGATGCCATCTGACTCATGAAGGAGCACATGGGCCAGCATTCGGCCATGGCAGTCCATGACAATAACCTGTCCATCAGCAGTGCCAAACAGTACCTGAAAATAACACAACAACCCTCAGTCCCACCAAATGTCAGCCACAGGGTCCTCCTTCAAATGCATCTTGTAATTAACTAGCTACACTGGAAATTAATTGAAAGCAAAGCAGTCATGGACATGAAAGGGTGCCAGAATAGGACACTGCAATCAAAGATAAATGTAAAGAATGAAGTTAGAGCAGCAGAGTCTACAGGTAAGTTTGTAACATCTGTGAGCAAGTAATGTTTCATGGTGGATGTTCTTCATTCACTTTAATGTGAGATATTAGACTTTATTTGAACTTGATCATTACCGCTATTAAAGTGAGCTGGCAGAAAGGCTACCACAGATTCTTTAGTATTCTTGGATAATACAAAAGCTCCTAAACCTGGTAGCAGAAACCGAGATGTGCATCAGTTGTAACAATATCAAAAGAAAAGACACAGCTGACAAAAGTGAGGTCCTAGCAGAAATTTCAAATAGCTTGTGAGAAATAGAAAATGGATAATTCAAGGTTTTTCTTGCCCTTAAACAACTCTATTGCAAATCATACAGATTGAAGTCAGAGTGACTGGAACCTGCAATTTCTTTTTAAATAAATTCTTCTTGAGGATTAAAGAAAATTAAGATCCTGCACATTTGATGAATTTTAGGAAAAATTCAGGAAATAAGGACTAATAAATCCTAAAGCAATAAATGCATTAGCCAAGGCTGTTGCTGCTATCATGTAATTCTGTATGACGCAAATACACTTCAAAGCAAGTTTAAAAGCGCCCATCAACTTGAAAACTAGCCAGCATTAAAAATGAAACTAAAAGGAAGGTCAAATCTTACACTTGCTCTTCAGTCTACCACCTATTCCCAGGACTTGTTTAAGGTTCTAACAATTATATGCCCAGATCAGAAATTCACCTAGCCGTGTATCTTACTTAAGAGTGGCCAAGTGTTTGGAGAAGAGTAAAAGATCAGGATGCACCTGAGCAGGCATCTCCCCTGCACATTGCTGTAGCTTTCAACCAAAAAAACCCCAATCCCTCTTCTCTGATAATTGATAATTTCATTTGGCAACCTTTAGCTCTTTACACTGAAGGAAGCACGAATAATTGTTCCTTACTTACATTCTTAACAATGGTCACAATTTTACAGACCTCTATTATCTAATGCCCTAGTCATCTCTTTCCCAAGCTAAAGAATCATAGTCTGCTTAGGATCTCCATGCACAGTTGTTGTTCAAAGCCAGCAATCACCCTCAGAGACCTCTGGTGTCAGAGGTCTTCTTTTCTATCTTCCTACTGAGAGGCTGCATCAGTTGCAGCATTCAATGTGTGTATTGTATCAGACTTATACAACATAGTCTCTTAGGAAGGAACTGTCATTACTGCACTTCTGAAAGTTTCAGAAAGGAAGTGTGGCTTCTTAAATTTCAGTCAAAAAAAAACCCAACCAAATCTTGAGAAAAACAATGGAGTTGTTTCCCATTATCAAAAATATTGAACAAATCAGTATCTGGCTGCCTTAACTATAATCATTACATGTTACAAATATTTTTGTGTTAAACAGTTGCTGGATTAAAACAGCAGTTGAAGTTTGCTACAAGCCTACTATTCTTAGATGTAACAGCAAGAACTCAACCTTTGTTCATCTCACACTATCGTCCCTTGTGATCCCTTATTCTATTCTTCCTCCACTCGTATCATCACATCTCCTTTCACACTGTTCATTATTTCCACTGTTTTCACATGCATGATCACTGCACAGCCACTTTCACCATTCCCTTTCAAAACACAGTCACTCTCTGATCTCAAAAAAACAAACTTACAAAGGCAAAATCCTACCAGTTGTCACTGCTAGCTTCTCATACCACTCTCAGTCTACTACAGAGTAGTTTTTAATTAGACTCCTAAAAGTTCTGTAACTGCTAATACCCAGACAGAGGAGGTGAACCTCTATTGCTTCTGAAAATAGTAGTACAAGAGTTTGTCTCCTAAAACCCTGCAGAAACATTTTGTAATTGGGTAGGGAAAAAAAAAATCTTTGGATTCATCACTCAACAGTTCAGTCTCATCTCAATCTAAGGCTAATTCTTTTGAGTAGCACTGCCCCCAAATAATTCAAAATTATGAAGTACTCAGTAATTTCCAATTCAGAACAGCTGCATGTCAGCATCTTAATTCTAGCACTGAACTTGAGAGAGCTCTTTAGCAACCTAGAAATATCAGAGGGCACACTTCATCTCTTCAGCCAGGCTGTAGGTTTCAAGGAGCAGCTTTAAGTTTCAGGGTTATTGTAGCAATACAACCTTTAAGATGAAAGCATTTATCAGCCTGATAGTCCTGCTGGCTGAACTCCTGCTGAAGCTGTAAAAATGTCTAATGGTGTTATCATCCATAACATTACTCAGGTTATAAATGCCACACTCAAGCTACTTATGTCAGATGAATAAAACTCTCTTGACCTTCAGACAAAAGGTTGAGCCACAGGATATCCCTAAAGGATCTAGCAGAGAAATTAAGAAGTTACATTTCAGAGACTTAATATTTTTGGGGGGAGGTGTTTGCAGATCTAGGAGGTCAGACAGAATGTTGGAAAATGGTAACAAGTTACAGTGGTTTGTTAACCCTTGAGGACAAAAGCTAAGTGATAATAAGAGTAATTAAAAAACCCCACTGAGTACTTACTTTGAAGTGGTTCTTTGGCCCTCGTTCTGTTCTTGTCTTGACTCATCTCCTCTCCTTTCATATTTATAATTACAACTGATCTTACATGTATTATCAATTGTAGAATTGCATTTGCAGAATATGGAAAACCTGATAACCAAATACCTAAAATCACCCAATACATTCTGAGTGTGAGTCAGTACCACAACATAAATATAGTATGTCTTTACAAAATATCACACATGACAAAGCCTACATTAGAGTGAAACTGTAGCTGCTTAAAAGTCACACAAATCCTGTGGTGCCCAGATGTTGTGTACTTTGTAGGAGAAACTGTGATAAACAGCATTGGGATAGCACACAGTTTTCCAAGTGTATCAAGAGTTGAAAGGTGGATCCAGTTCTGAAACACAAGTTCAGTTCCCTCTTAGTTCTCCGTGAAACCCAAGCTTGGGATGATTGCAATCTATTACAACAAATCTGAATACCTGAAAAACGCCCTTCTCTGGAATGTGCTGACCTCTTTGATCTGTGTTAACTTGAGATGAGTTTCACAACCTAGTTTTGGTAAATTTATAGGTTTTTCAACTGAAGACTTTTGAACTATCATCCACGAAACTTAGCATTCAAGGTTGCAACCCCCTTAAATGCCCAAGATATCAAAGACTTTACAATTAACAATAAGAAATACACCAATTTCTAAAAGACATATGGTAAGCAAAGGATGGGGCATTTTGCTCTGAAGTATTCCTCTTATGAAGAGATGAATATTGCAACAGCCAAAAAGCTAAAAATTCAGCTCAAGAGGAACAGCTTGGATGTGTTGGGTGGCATTGCTACATAGGGATGTGTTGTGCTGAACCCTCCAGCTCATGTAAGATCTACTGTGATGCTGCAATGCTCTGGACCAGACACAGGACCAGCAGAAAGTGGTTTGGCAGCACTGAGATCCACAAAGCTACAGTGGAGTGATCAAAGACCTGGTACATTGAAGGTCCAGCTCAGGAGGCCCACTGTTTTGTAAAAGTACAATTCTCTAACAGCAGTGCTTTTTTTTGCACGTAACACATTTTGTTGCTATTTAATTTGGTTTAATATAAGTAAATTGAACTCATCAACAGTAAGAATGCTCAAGCTTTATGATAATTGGAATACATATGAGGAGTAGAAGGCAGAATTATTTCCAACCTCAGGTTTTGGTTGTACAAACTGAACAGTCAATACTATTCTAGAAAGATATCAATAAAACAAGATGCCTCTCTTCATGACATTTAGTACTAACACTGAAGGTTTCTAATGTTGCTGGTTAAACAAAACTCCCAGGAAATCTAATCAATACATTTTCAGAACAGGGGCTGTCATTCTGCATCAGGGAAATGACCGAATCTTTGACTGAAGCTGAAGTTGAAGCATTAGAAGCTGGATTTGCTACAGCTACTGGAAGAAATATAAAGCTGTTGGAGGCTACTTTAGGGTAGCACTTTTAAAGTGAGATATTCCAGTATCGTGATGCTGGAATGCTAAAAAAGGAACATGTGTCTGTTTCACTCCTGCTGGCTCAGGATTTTTAACAGATCCTCTCTGGCTTTTTACTAAGAACATACATCTGACAACTCACAAACGCAAAACAACTCAGACTCCATTAATTAAAACAGCATTGAAAATGAATCTAGCCAACTCCATCCTTATACAATCTGATTCTTAAAACCCCAAATTTTCACATACAGACGGAACTTGCCTTGTAAGACTATGCAAGGTGCATGAACAGATTGTATCTAAATTCCTGGACATACTGAAACATTCTAAAAATTAACATAATCTGTCATGCATATTAAATGCTCTAATCTTCCCTAAGATGTCAGTAACTCCAGTGAGCAATTTCTCAAGTTACAGATCTTCCTTCTCCCACAGGACAAAGTTTGAAGGATTCCTCTTCCCACCCACTTGGTAAACATTGCCCTTGCAATATTTTGTTTTACTCTCTGACTTTGTATATGTGTTTGGCACACACACCTGCAGAAATCTTGGTGCCACCATACCAGGCTGCATCAATGCTGCCACTTCACAACTTGCTCTGCACAGCTCTGCATTCGCAGCTGCCTCGTTCTGTTTTGCTTCACTGACCTTCACTTTCTCAAAATTTAGACCTTTCATGCTTTCTTCTTCAGTCTCCTCCCCCATCTTCCCCCACATGAAAAATGAGGCACCTCAGAAAGTACACTTTGCAAAAATGCTAATAAGGCCAACTGTTTTACTGTCAGAAGATGCTGAGCAGTTCAAGGAAGCTGAATTAGTTCTGTTTGCTCTGATTTAGCCAATTGAACAAATATTAGTATTTATGACAGGAACAGCCTTCACAGT